TGGGTGTGGGTGTGGGTGTGGGTGTGGGTGTGGGTGTGGGTATCCGAGGAGCAGCGACCAGGGGAGACGTGGGGACGGGGGAGGGGGTTTGACCTCTTCTGGCCGGGGAGATCCAGAGTCTTTATAGGAGAGGCCCTTGGGCGGAGAGCGTTGGGATCAGGTCGCTACGTAGCGTCGTGGTTGACAGCATTTGGTTCGGAAGACGGAGCTCGGCGATGCCATAAATTTGCGATTGCAGCCAAGAATGCATTGCATGAGCAGGAGCAGCTGCATGGAGAGCGGCTGTCGACTCGCCTTAGAGCTGCACATGCAGGTGGAGCTGCATCCGCGGCCCTGATTCGAGGCCCATCCCACGTGGAGAGCCAAGCGACGTATTGCTCGCCGCGGAGAAGGCGAGGCTTTGCGCGGGTTCTTAGCTGAGCAACGCGCGCTCATATTAATAGCATCAATCCCAAGGCCTTTCCGCGGGAAGCAAAGCCGCACTTCCTCGGAGATGCCTCCCGCGCCGCCCAGCCTTATTCGTTCTCATGCGCTTGCTTATCTCTGCTCATCTCGTCGACGACGCAATCGATCCTTGGCTACGTCGGCTCCATTCCGAGCCTCTCGGCTCTCCGAGGAGGAGCCAAAAGCGCGCTTTGCTAAGGTGCAGATCCAGCACAAAGCAGCAGTCGGAACTTCCGACGGACATTCGGCAGCAACTCGACGTGCCGTTCCGGCTGCTCTGCCCTTAATATTCTCAATTTTCCGCGATGCCACTCGCCGATCGGCGCTCACAGCCTCAGGACTCGCGGTCCAGACTCAGTCGTCCGCATCCCGAAATTCGCTTCCCCTGGCCCCAATCCCGAGATCCGCGTTGACTTGACTTACATCATTCAGTCCGCTCATGGCCATGCCTATGCCTACGCCTATGCCTACACCATCTCAAGTCACGCGCGATATGAAGCAATGCAGGGCTGGGATTCGACGGAGCTAGTCAAGTCATAAGTTAGTGTACAGGAGACAGGGGGAGCTTGCGCAGTCTCTACTTGAACTGCGTCTCGGTCACGCCCTTGCCCATGGCCGAGGTGGAGGCGGCCTTGAGCACCGTGTTGAGGCACGAGTCGACAAAGTTGGCGCCCGACCACTTCTGGTGCGTCAGCACGTCGCAGCCAATCTCGCGCTCCTTGCGCTGCACCAGCTCCACGTACGCCTTCATGCCCTCCTTGGCAAAGCCGGCGGCGAACAGGTCCGAGATGTACGCGTTGGAGTGCAGACCGCCGAGCGTGATGAACTGCCACACAAAGCCGAGCTTGCCCAGGTCCCAGACGTAGCTCTTCATCTGCTCGGTGCTCAGCTTGGCTGCGTCCCAATTGAACGACGGCGACAGGTTGTACGCCAGCCACTGGTGCGGGCGCGCCGCCTTGACGCCCTCGGCAAACTCCTTGGCCTGCGCCAGGATGGGCGACTTGGTCTCCATCCACAGCAGATCGGCGTAGGGGCCAAAGGCGATGGCGCGGTTGATGGCGCAGTCGGTACCGCCCTGGTAGCGGTAGTAGCCCTCGCGCGTGCGGCACGCATCCCAGTCAAAGCCAATCTCGACGCCCAGGCTCTTGGCCTTGGCCTTGGCCTTGATCAGCGACGTGCCCAGCACCTCCTTGCGGAACTGCTCCGCCTCGGCCTTCTTGCCCTTCTTCTCCAGCTCGGCAGCCACGGCGTCTCCGTAGCGCACCGGCTGCGCCTTGGCCAGCCACTCGTCCTCGAGCGCGATCAGCTTGGGGCCGTCGGCACCCTCGGCCTCGGCACGGTTGAGAATGTCGACCAGAGGCTCGAGGCTCGTGTTGGTGGTGCCGAGGATGAACGCGTGGTCGCGCTCGTCGACGTTGGTCGTGATCAGCGTGGCTGCCTCCGAGTCGGTACGTGCGACGACAAGGTTCTCGACGCCCATAATGTCGTACTGCAGGCGGATGGCCACCAGACGGTTGATGTGCTCCTGGATGGGCACCAGCACCTTGCCGGCCATGTGACCGCACTTCTTGGTACCGGGAGCCTGGTCCTCAATGTGGATACCCGCCGCACCCTTCTCGACAAAGAGCTTGGTGAGCTTCATCACGGCGGTCAGACCACCGTGACCCGTGTCAGCGTCGGCGACAATGGGGCGCAGATAGTCGACGACGGGCGTCTTGGCGCGCTGCTCGGGCGACATGTTGGTGCGCTCCTCGCGCTGCTTGCGGTCGTGGAAGAGCTGCGCCATGAACAGGTGCTCCACCTTGAGCGGCACCGTGTTGTACGGGTAGTCGGCAAGATCCGGACCGGGCTCGTTGGTCGACGAGGCGGTCGACGAGCACTGCCAGCCCGACACGTACACCGTCTCGAGGTGCTTGGCCATCTGCGTCACCTGGACGGGGTCGAGGGCGCCGTAGGTGTGCGAGGTGGTGCCCTTGGAGGCGTGACCCTCGAGCGTCTTCCACAGCTTCTGCGCCTGCGTGTTGGAAGGATAGGTCTGCTTGAGCGTGCCGCGCTTCGACACCACCTGCTCGGCGGTGTAGGGTCGCGTGGTGTTGGCGAAGCGGGGGTTCTTCCACCACTGTTTGACCGCCTCCACCTCCTCCTGGAACTGCTTGAGCTCCTGGTCAGCCATGATTGCGGATGAGCGCTGTGCTACTTTTAGGTTTGGGTAAGGGTGTATGCGCGACGAGGTGCGTTGGAGCTGTTGCGCCAATGCTTTTTGATTGGAAGTATGGTGTAGGTGGCTCGATGGGATGAGAACCAGTACGAGCAATGGGAAAGGGGTGTAGGTGGAAGCACGAGAAGCTACATCGTGCCCAGCTCAGGTGTATATACTCTGCCTCGCCCGGCCTGATGCAGTCATCGCTCTGGTCGAACGAACGGCGATGTACAGCGTCTCTCCACACTCCGGGTGAACGGATTTACAGGCCTGGGACCGGTCAGGCGCAATCTTACCGGCAGGAGGCGAGTCTGGACCGGAAGCAGCCCCGCCTCGGAGCTTTGCCAGCTGTTGCGCCGCGAGCGAGTGTTGAAAAGTAGCGGACCAAGCGGACGCATACTTGCGAGGCTGCGAGTCAGGCCAGCCGCGCTGCGAGCGAGTGTACAGAGCCAGAGTACAGTAGTGGAGGACTAGCGGCGCCTCCGATCCCCGCATCCCTCGCCTGAGTCACGGCTCTTCGAGAGGCCGTTGGACCGGTTCGGGCTCGACTGCGCGCCCGCACCGCTCTTTTCGACCCTCTGGAAATTTAGCGCCTCTCCACATGCGGACGCTGCGAATCGAAAGGGTTCGAGCTATGCTAACAGACGCTTTTTCACGCCCAGCGCCAGTTGAGCGCTCCTGCGCCGCATGCACTGTCGCGTGGGCCTGCGCTTGCAAGTCCGAAGCGTCCGCGCTCCTGCCTCATCCGAGCGTGAAAGCAGAAAATCAAAGTCGGGATCGACATCGGCCCTCTGCAACGGCTGCCAGGGCCATCGACTCCATCCTCAACCTCGACCAAAGGCACGTCCGACTTTGCCAAGACCACTGCACCCTTGTGCTCCTCGTCGACGAGATGTTTGAGCACCAGAGGCGACGAAAGCAATTGTTGTGTCGATGTTGCAGTCTTCGTGGTACTATGAGCGGCAGGTAGCGCCCTCGAGGAGGAGCGGCCGGTAGCTCGACGTCAGCCCAGCCGGCGCAGCCGCACCGGCTCCAAACGGAGATTCGTGTGCGGGAGGGCGCGTGACCGTCATGTCCTCGCAAAGCCGCACTTCAAAAAAAGCGAAATTTGGTCTTGTTAGACCTCACAAGAATCGAGCATGACAATGTAGAATCGCAAGTCCGAATTCCGAGCTCTGGCACCGGGAAAATTCTCCACCCACTCCACCAGCACTCCAACACTCGACAGCGGCTGCACTCGGCCATTCGCTCAACCAAGGACAATAGCATCTCGACGATGGGCAAGGCTAGCACATCGACACGGGGTGGCAAGGGAGCGCGCGGAGGAGGTAGCGGTAGAGGTCGAGGTCGTGGAGGCGGCGGTCGAGGTGGAGGCAGGAGTCTCGCCGACCGATACGCCTCGGCGTTGGACAATGACAGCTGGCGGCCCGACAGCGCTATCGACGAGCCACAGAGGAAGGGAACCCGCAGCTCCTCAGACGGATCAGAAGAGTCCAACTCGGACGAAGACGAGGACTCGGAAGCTGATTCCGACGACGAAGAAGCTACGAAGAGCGAGAGCGAGAGCGAGAGCGGCAGCGACAACGAAGGATCGTCGAGCGATGCGGATAGCGACTACAACTCCGTAGACGGCGGGAGCGATGTCGAATCGATCGAAGTGCCAGTAGCGATGTGGGACTTCAACCACTGCGATCCCAAACGTTGCTCGGGCAAGAAGCTTTCGCGGCTTGGGCTCATCCAGGAGCTTCGGGTGGGACAAAAGTTCCGCGGCATCGTGCTCACTCCGAACGCCACGCAGACGCTCTCGCCCGCGGATGCGCACATCGTCGCCGAGAACGGCGTGGCAGTGGTAGAGTGCAGCTGGGCACGACTGGATGAGGTTCCGTTTGGCAAGCTCAAGAGTCCCCACGAGCGCCTGCTGCCACACATGATCGCCACCAACCCGGTCAACTACGGCAAGCCAATGAAGCTCAACTGCGTCGAAGCACTTGCGGCGGCATTCTACGTATGCTCCATGCCCGCACAGGGTCGACTGCTGCTGTCCAAGTTTGGCTGGGGCGAACACTTCCCCAAGATCAATGCGCGCTGGATCCGCGCGTATCGTGGATGTGCGGACGCACGCGAGGTCAACGAGCTCAGCCGCAAGATGGTGGAAGAGGATCGAGCGGAGAAGGAGGAACTCAAGAAGCGATTCGACGAGTCGGGCGGTATCCAGGGTACGCTCGATCGGATCGCCGACGAGGCCGACCATCTGGACAGCGACGAGGAGCGCGAGGCGGAAGAACGTGCGCTGCAGCAGGACTTTTCCAAAATTGTGCGCATCACCGACAGCTCTGCTCAAGCATGAGCTTGCCCTATGTCGCCCACCTGTACTTGTATTCTACTCTGCCACGGAGCATCTCATTCATCGCTCAAACGATACCAAACGAAGCCGAGATGAGCGGATAGGGAAAGGCGGGGGCGGGGAGAAAGGGGGGG